CAAAAACAGGCTAAAATTAAAACAATGAAAAAAAGAAACACTATGCCACAATTACCTGCAGAAATATCTTTCTCAATAAATAATAAAAAAGTAGAAAGAAAATCCATAAGTATATGGAATACTTGAACATCAGTATCCATCACTTCAACCTGATTATCATTATTTAAAATATTTTTTTAGTTGTAGATGAACACAACACCTCTATTTATTTATTTTTATGTGGTGCTGAGGATCGAACTCAGTGCTTCACACATGCTGAGTAAGCACTCTACCACTGAGCCCCAACCGCAGCCCCAACGTGATTATTATTTATAGACACTCCGTCCAATAACAGCAGAGGACACTCTCCTCAAGTGCACATGGAACACTAAGATCATATTCTGAGTCATGAAATAAGTCAAAAATTTAAAGGCATTTAAGTCATATAAATCATTGACCGATCACATGCAAAACTAACAGAAAGTAGTCTGGAAAAAAAATCTCTGAATATTTGAATATAAGATAATCTATTTCTAAATAACCCATGATACAAAGGTGAAATCAAATAGAAAATTAGAAAGCATTTTTAAACTGAATTAAACTGAAAATTCAACATATCAAAAGTTTTGGGTGTAGCTCAAGCAGGACTTAGAAATTTATAGCATTAAATGCTTATTTTGGAAAAGAAAAAAGGTCTGGGATCAATTACCTCAGCTTTTACTTTAAGAAACCGGAGTGTGTTTGGGGGGACAAATGAAACTCTAAAAGAGCAGAAGAAAGCAAAAAAAATTAATAAAACAAAACATAAAACCAGTATAAAAAAAATCAATGAAACCAGAAAAGTGTTTACCAGGAAAAAGATAGATGGAGCTGGGGTTGGGAGGCTGGTGGTGGTAAGGGGATGAACAATCATCAGTAACAGCAATGAGAGAGTATTACAAAGGTTATACCATCTATAGGTACTAAAAAAATGATATGGATGATACAAACAACTTTATGTACATAAATTTAACAACTTACATAAAACAGACAAACTCCTTGGGAGACACAGCTTCCAAAGTTCACTCAATAAGAAATAAAAGTCTCAAGTATCCTTATATATTTTTAAAAATATTTCTTTAGTTATAAATGGACACAATACCTTTATTTTTATTTGTTAATTTGTATGTGGTGCTGGGGATCTAACTCAGTGCCTCACACATAACTAGGCAAATGCTCTATCACTGAGCCATAACCCTACCCCCTTATATTTTTTAAGTAAATTAAACTTGCATTAACAAACGTTCCCTCAAAGAAAACTCCAGGTCCAGATGATTTAACCTGGCAATTCTATCAAATATTTAGGGGAAAAAATAATATAAATTTTATACAAACTTTCCCAGAAAATAGAAGAGGAAGGAATCTAGTCTATGGGCCAGCATTACTGTGATACCAGAAATAGACAAGGGATTACAAGAAAACTACAAACTGATTAACTTCATGAACACAGAAGCAAGCATTCTTAACAAAAGTTAGCTGATCAAAACCAACAGTTTGTAAAAGGGATACTATGTCATGATCAATACATTATCCCAGGAAGGTGAGTTTAGTTTAAATTTGAAAATCAGTATAATCCACTATATTAACAGACTAAAAAAAAATGCAGATGCATTGACAAAATTCAATATCCATTCCTGATAAAAACCCTCAGCAGAGTAGAAATAGAAGCCTTCCTTAAGACTTCCTCATTATAATAAAGAGTATCTAGGAAAAATCTATAGTCAATATCACACTTAATGGTGAAAGGTTGAATTTTTCCAAGATGTGGTACAAAACAAAAATATCTGTCCTTATCACCTCTATTCAACATTGTATTAGTGGGTCTAGCTAGTATCATAAGGCAAGAAAACAAATACATCCACATTGGAAAGGAAGAAATACTATTTTTTATTCACAGATAACATGTTTATTGGTAGACTGTACAAAGAAAATCTAGAGTTAATAACATAAAATATAAGATATAAGCTCAACATACAAAAATTAATGTATTCCTATAGAATATCAATCATAAATCAAAATATACTTTTAAATATAAATATAAAATATTTATGAATATAAATATAAAATATATATTATATATATTTATGAATATAAAATATTTATGAATAAATTCAAGAGGTCAGCAAGACTTTTTTCCTGAAAACTACAAAACACTGAGAGATGTTCATGAAGACTGAAATTAATGAAATGTTTATGAAATTGAAGATATAATTCTAATATAAGTTTTCTCCAAATTGATCTATATATTCAATTTTTTTGGGGGGGGTACTGGGAATTAAACCCAGGGATGCTTTATACTGAGCCACATCTCAACTCCTTTATCTTTTTATTTCTAGACAAGATTTTGTTAAGTTCCTGAGGGTCTCTTTAAGTTGCTGAGGCCAGCCTCAAATTTGCAATTCTCCTGCTTCAGTTTTCCAAATCCCTGGGATTATATTTTATGCACCATTGCACTCAGCTTCAATGTACTCTTGATAAAAATCCCTGTGAATTTTTTGTTTACGTAGAATTTGATAAGTTAATTCTAAAATTCATATGGAAATACAAAGGACCCAGAATTGCAAAATCAATATTTAAAAAAGGAAGGTCAAAGTGAGAATTTGTGAGCTACCTGATTTCAAGATTTATTATAAGGCTAGAATAATCAAGAGAGAGTATTTGTAGTGTCAAGAGAGACATATATATCAATGAAACAGAATAAAGTGTCCAGAGCTAGACCTTACATACCTGATTAAAACATGATCCATGGAAGGAGAAAAATAAATAAATTTGACACTACAGAAATGAAGAACTACTTCTGCTTTTTTGAGTGGGTTGGGAAGGGTAGGGCTGGAGATTGAATCCAAGTCTTATGCATGCTAGGCAAACATCTCCAGTATACAAAAATAAAAAATAAAAAAACAGCTAAGTTGGGTTGGGGTTGTAGCTCAGTGGTAGAGCACTTACCACCATGTGTGAGGCACTGGGTTCCATCCTCACCACCAAATAAATAAATAAATAAATAAATAAATGTATTGTGTCCATCTACAACTAAAAAAAAACACCTAAGCTGGCACAGTGGCATACACCTGTAATCCCAGCAACTCAGGAGGCCAAGGCAGGAGGATCACAAGGTTGAGGCCAGCCTGGGCAACTTAACAAGAACCTGTCTCAAAATTAAAAATAAAAGGGCTAGGACTATAGCTCAGGGGTAGAGTGCCCCTGGGTTCAATCCCCAGTACTAGGGGGAGGGGGTGGGAATAAAAGGAAGGAAAGAAGAAAGAAAGAAGGAAGGAAGAAAGATAAGCTCATACTGGGAAATTGTATAATAGTATTTGCCAATTTTATATCTCATAGAAGACTAGTATCCAGAATATATAAATAACCCTTAAAATTAAATAACAATGCCCAAAATAGGCAAAGAAAAGCTGTGAACATTCAACATCTTTAGTTATTAGCAAAACAGAAGTCAAAATCAGTTACCACTATACACCTATTAATGACCAAAATAAAAAAGACAAATCATACCAAATGTTGGTTAGAAGGTGGAGCAACTGAAACTCTCACGCTTCTGGCAGGAGTATAAAACACTCTGCAAAGCAGTTTGGACCTTCTGAAATATGTTAAATATACACTTAAAATAGGGTCAATCATTCTGTTCTTAGGTGTTTATACCCAAGAGAAATCAAAGTATTTGTCCATCTAAAGACTTGCACACAAATGCTCTTAGCAGCCTTTTTTTTTTTTCTTGTAATAAGCAAAAAGAAACTAAATGTCACCAATAGGTGACTGGATAAATAATTGTGGTGTATTTGCATAATGGTTCCTCTTCAGCAATTAGAGGGAATGAGCTTTTGATAGGCAACAACAGAATAATCTCAAAATAATTATGCTGAGTGGAAGATGCCATATAAAAAAGAGTTCATACTGTATGATTCCATTTCTTTAAAATTCCAGAAAATGCAAACTAATGTACAGTAATAGAAAGAAGATCGGTGGTTGCTTAGAGAGGGTGTATGGGGGCGGGAGATGCAGGGAAGGATTACAAAGAAGTACAAGAAAATTTGGAAGGTGATGTACGTGTTCATTACCTTGGTGGTGATGATTTAAAGTATGTATAAATACGTCAAAATGTATACTCTAAACATGCAGTTTATTGCTTTATTAAGCAATAAAATTACTTTAAAATGCCTATAGTGAGGCACACTAGGCGGTAGGCATACTGTGTGCCAGTTTGTTAGAAGTGTGCCAAATGCATTCTTCCCATTTTGTCCTTACAATAAATCTGAGATTAGTACTGAGACTGATTGTTCCCTTTCACAGATGGAGAACACTGAGGTTTAGAGAAGTTGTTTAGAGGCATCCCAGTTAGTAAGTGGCAGTCTGAGCATGCTTTTTCACTCTCAACTGTGAATTTGTGGTAGAAAGATCTATTTTGCAGTAAAGAGGCAAAATAAAGTGCTAAAAGTTCTCTCATTCATTATGTAAATCCTCAGAAATGGGGAGAAAGCAGTTCAAATGCTCATGCCTACTTCACAGAGGGACACGTTGAGGTTCAGCAAGAATGATGACTTGGACACAGTTTCAGACTTGGGGGCTGTGTCTTCCCACTACTTATACCAGGCCCCTGGCTGCGGAAACACAAGCCTCCACGTGCTGTCGGTAGACCTCGAGTCTCATCAGTTGGCCAAAGATGATGTAAATCGAGTCCTTGGGTTTATAGATCAGAAACTTCAACAACTGAGCGCTGTACTACTACCAGACAAATTCCAGAGAAAGGTACGACTTGACATTGACAGGGGCCGCGGAGCGCGAGTCAACACCACACCTTTCGGGTTTCCACTCCGGTGTCTGCGGCGAAGCGGTTCCGCGGCCGGTGCGGCCTTCCGCGCGGCCCCTCCCGCGACTCGGCGGGGGCGTCGTGGAGGCGGGCCCGGGGACGCTCGCTGGCGCTCCGGCGCGGCGCCCCCTGCCGGCGCCCTGTTCTCCTTCGCCCGGATCCGGCCCCGGCGGCGCGGGGACGCCGGCCTGCAAGCCAGCAAGCGGGCGGGCGGGCGCAGTGGGCGAGCGGGCGCGCCCTGCAGGGGTAGGTGGGCCGCGGGGCGAGGGCGGGCGCGGGGCACGGAGTGCGAGCGGGGACAGTCGGGCGGGGGGCGTGCGCGGAGGGGTCGGGCGAGGGGCCGATGGGCGGGTGCGCGCGCGGAGGCGCGCGGCGGGCGGGCGGGCGCGAGTCATCAATTATGCAAGTACTCGGGCGGCGCGGGGGGCGGGCGCGGGGAGCGCTCCAAGATGGCGCCCACCGCAGTCCCGCCCGCCGCAGCCTCGGCGCCTCTGCAGTCCGGCCGCGCCTCCCGGGCCCCGCGCTAGGGCCACCGCCGCCTCGCTCGCCGTCGCTGCCGCCGTAAGTCGCCCCGGAGCCCCCGCCCTGGCGCTGCTCCTCGCCACGGGCTCCCCTTTCCGCCTCGGGACCCTTGAGCGGGCTCGCCCCTCTCCAGTCAGGGGCTTTGCCGCAGAGTGCGCGGCGGGGCTGTGGAACCGAGTTTCTGACCTCCCTGTTTTGGAAGTCTTGCTTCCTTCTACCGTGTTTACTGGGGGCCCCTAGGAGAATCTAGGACCACCGGCCCCACGCCCGGATACCTTTCTCTCCTCGTCTCTCTAGTCTACATTGGGGGACACGGGTTGCCCTCGGTGCCCCTTCCGTGGTTCACCCCCCTCCCCCAGCAGGGGTAGAGTCGGGTCGCTAGCGGGCTTGCTCTGAGAAGGGCAGCACTGTCGGGATCTTCCTATAACAGCCCCTTAGCCTTTCCCCCTCCCCCATGTCTTACTGCATCCTTGTCCCTGATCAGGCTCCAGATTGCTACCAACTGCAGAAGCCAGGTGTTCCTGGGTTCTTTGGGTTGCTAGGACTTCCCCTGTCCTTTACTCGGATGTGTCTGTCCCCCTCCCAACAGGGTGTTCTGTGGCTGTGTTGGGGGCGCCCGGGACCTTCCTCGGCAGGCTAGGATTTCTGCATTAGGGAGTACATCACTTTCAGAATATCCCCCTTCCCCCATCCATACGCCACCCGATGCAGAGCTTGTTCCTCTCCTCCTCGCTCCTCTCCCCCCCCCCCACCCTTACCACCGCCAGCAGCACTCTGGGTTTCTTGTTAGCATAGGGTCCAAGACTGACTGTTTGCCAAATCGCACAGCTTGGACCCTTCCTCTCTACTTCTCTGTTGGTACCTTGGGGGACCGCAGAGCCTCTGCATTTCTCCTGGGAGCTCAGCTCCATCCTCTCCATTGCCTCTCCATTGCCAGCAGCAACCACCGGTGGAGACTTGGCAGCTAACTTTTCAGGGGGAGGGGGAGTAGGCCAGGGTTGTTAGACCCCTCTAGGGGACCCAGCTTTGAGTTGGCATGGAGTGGGAATCATTTTTCAGCTTGATAAATAGGATTCTTTAAACCATGTATTGCTTCCAACTACTCCACCCTATGCCCTTTTCCTCACTTACACTGCAGTTTTTAAGCATGGGGGAATACATTTTATATCTGGAGATTCCAAGATTCACATCAGTGTTCATGATAAATGAATGTCATCTGTTTGGGGGAGGTGGGTAGAAGAAACTTTGCATTGCATCTGGCTGAATTCAGGGGGAGGGAGTAATAATTAGCATGGAGCAAGCTCTGCTACACAAGAGAAGCCGCTTTAAATGCACAGTGGGCACCAGAGAGGCAGGGATGGAAGCAGGAAGTGTGGGTGAGGACCTTGAGGGCAAAGAGGGGAGAGTGCTTTTTAAAAATAACTGTTTTCTCAAGTTTGAACCTGGAGAGATCCTTTAGAGAGCTAGTGGTGTGTTAGGGCTGGGGGATGTTTTAGCTTTCCAAGAGAGATTTCGGGTGTGGTAGGTTTTTCACGGTCTCACAGTCTCTCTGTACTTCTTTTTCTCCACGTGCATTAGAAGATATGGGGGAGGGGGCTTTTTTCCTTCCTCAAAATTTTTTTTGATGTGTAATGCAAATGGCTGGACAACATTACAGCCTAGTACCAGGATGGTAGGAATCTTGGGGAATTCAGATTTAAAATGACAAAAGCTACATTGTAGCACATTGTCTGTAACCTGGTTCTTGAAATACTGCAGCGTTTTTTTTTTTTTTTCCTTTGGAACTCATGACCTATAAGGCCTTCAGTTCTCCCTGAAAGAGGATTTGATTGCTTGTTGGGGGGTGGGGGTGGTAGTGATGGTTCCGTGTTCAGCAAGCATTCTCTGTCCTAGAAATTGAGGCTGTCCCTGGAGAAGGCTGCAAGCATGTTCTATGTTCTCAGAACATCTGATTCAGGGTGTATGTAAATGCGTTGTGTTTCTTAGTAGGGTTGGTCACAGGTATTGCAAAGCAGTTCTTGATGGTACAGGCTAGTTTTATTGGTTTCTTGGGTTCAGTTTGAGAGGCTGACTTTATATGCTTTTGGTTTTCATTTGGGGCTTTGTCAGCTTTTATCAAAATATTTGAAAGATTTTGTTTTAAGCTGATAAAGAATAATTAAGGAGAATATAGCCTGCTTAAACACACATAACCCTACAGTTGCTTCCTTGTAGGACCCTTAACAAATTTTTCTTGAGCTCCAGCTTCCGATTGCCTTTATTTAGGCTTGTACCAGGGTTTGGTGGTGTGGTGCTGAAAGGACAGTTCCCCAACCAGTTCTGCAGTGAAGAGCACACATGCTGGTCAGGATTTGGATTTTTCTTTGCTTTATATCCTTCGTTTAGCAGGCTTTCCTGTGGATGTGCATGTGTATGCGCAGCTGGGTTTGTATTTGAGGTTGAAGGCCTAGTTATCACATTTTATTACTCCCACATAACTGTCCCTCATGGAGACAGTGTTTTACAGGCTGCCACAGATCCATATGTAAATCATACAGTGATCTGCTGACTGCATTAATTCAGTACATTTCAGTCATTTCAAATAGCAAGACACTGTTAATATTATGGATATTTGGTTTTCACTAGAAAGAATTAGATAGCTTGCCAGGCTAATCAGGATCAGAAGGGCATCTTCCCTGGGTTGATCTGAATATGAGCTGCAAAAGAGACAGGTCACAATAAGCTGGTCTGTAATCCATTGTATCACCAAAGTTTATTCATCCAAAAATTCATTTTAAACTCATAGAAAGGGAAGAGGACCATAAAATTAAGCTTGTACACCCTTCCACCTAACCCAGGAATTCCTCTTACAGGAGATTTCTGCTTTGAATACTTTCATTGGTAGGGAACTTATTACCACAAAAATAGCCCATTCCACGTGGATTCCAGTGTGATTGAAGTACTTTAATCTCACTGAAAAGTTAACATAAATCAAGTCAAAAGACATATAAATTAGGTTTAGGTTATGGGGAAATGTCATTTTTGTGCTTACCAAGAAAAGATTGGGACTTAATGAAATTATTTATACAAGAAACCTGTAACTACATGAAAAGAATACAAAGGGACGTGTCTACTTAAAGCAAGAAAAACATTCTATGAATGGAAAGAAAAATAATTATCTTTAATATGCTGGTATTATGTAACAAGTTGTTCTAGAAGACACATGCTTGAATTAATGAATACTTAATTTCTATGGATTATATCTAAGGAGAGTAAATCCACACTGTATGGAAAGTGTTAACCATTTTATCTAGCGAGAGAAACCACTTACCACACTTAAAAAATAATACTGCAGAAAAAGTTAATATATGTAAAAACAGGAAAAGAGTCATTAGTCTTAACATCCTGAGCAAGAGTTGTCTGTGTTTGTTTTTACAGTCTTTTATTTCATTTTTTTTTTTTTTGCAGGAAGTATTTGAAAAATACTCTGAATGCCAATATTTTTAAATCAAGCCTTTCAAGCTTTTAAATTCATCATCTACTAGTCAGTTGTTTAGGGTCTTAAACTCTACATTGTCTTATTTCAGTTTACCTTTTTCTTGGCCCTTTTTAACTTTTTGGAAAATCCATATTTATTGTGAAAGAATTTACTTATAGAATTGGATTCCTTTGACATCTCTTAAATTTAGTAGCTAGAGGAGTAAAACTTTTTTTTTTTTTTAAGTTAGTGATTCAACATACAGTCTTACTCGTACCTACTATGCTCAAGAAATTGTACTAGGAACCAGATTAGAAGAAAATGCTGTGCTCAAATACTGGTGGTTTAAGGAAGGAAATAGAACTTTCACCCTTTAGGTTTATTGATTGCTGAAATGTTTGGCAGCCTATTAGGTTGAGCCCAGTGATTTAACCTAAAGAAGAAATAGTTTGCACAGGAATGGGAAGGAAATGAAGGGAGGGGGAAAAAAAAAGACAAAGGAGAAGTCTTCTGGAAATTTTTTTCTGTCCATTTGTGAAGTTGTAGAAACTTAGCCAAGACACACAGTTAAGTACTATGTTAGGAATTAAGGTGAAATGAAGGCCCAAGAAGGTTGCCATAGTTACACTATTGAGACTAAAAGTCAGGATAGTATGGGCTTTGGTGTCAGGCAAAACTAGGTTCATATACCAACTCTGCTGCTTATTTACTTTGTGACCTTAGGCAAGTTATTTAATCTGTCTGGGCTTCAGTGTTCTCATCAATAAAAATAGCAATAATAATACTTACATTGCAGGGTGTTTGTGGGGATTAAATGAACTCTGTTTCCTTATGGTTTCTGACACAGTATATATTAGTTCCTTACTCTCTAGATATTGAGCAGCTTAGTGTGTGTTTTTATTTGTATTTGATAAGTGTATGTATATTGTTGTAAATTTTAGGAGATTGAAAAGCAGCTGGTTTCTTTATCCTCAGTCTGGCATAGCAGATTGAATCTGCAGGTTCTTTAACTTAAATGGACATTACTAGTCTACAAAGAGAAAAGTTTTATTGTACGTTTGTTGTGTTGGCCTTTACTGCATTATCAGAGTAATATTCTTACTCATTCCCCAACTACACTAGAATAGGACTCCACCAAAAAGGAATGCTTTGGTACTCACCAGCTGGCAGGCAACTAAACTGTTTTTAACCATAGTCTGGAATCTGAAGGTGGAATGAACCCAGAAATTAGGGCCTGCTTTTATTCTGTTCTGAACTGGGTTTTTAA